GGGATGCGGTGTCTCGAAACACCGAGATGCTGACAGTACTAACCCGAACTGTCAATGTTCTGTGGTAGAAACACAATGAGCGCAAAGGACAGTCGACATGTCAACATATTTTTGAACACTGCCACTTCCTGAAATATCCAGTGGTCGCAAGGGCAAACACATTCCTATGCATTAGCTGTTAGCTGTATCGAGAAACCAAGAAGCCTAAGTGGATGGCTAATATCGCGATCGGGATATCATCACACAACTTACAATGATTACCCAAGGGCCCCGCAGCCGTCTGATCACATTGAACAAATAGAAGATGTAGAACAGGGCAGCAAACACAAGGGTAATGGCTGCCACAAAGTTGACCCACCCTCCAGACGATACATACGACCAACCGGAGGCTGACGCGACACAGATCAACACGATGCAACTAAGAACAACCTTTAAGGGGTACACAAGGAGAAAGAGAAAATCAGCACCAACTCATTTCCGCATATGAATGTACACGTACATGATAAAAAACCTATACTTATCCGGTGAGTTATCCTAAAACGAACCAAAAAGCTAACCAGGACTTATCACGTGGCTCACAAGTGAGTTGACGACAGTGATTGTCTGAAAATCACGAGATATACTTCTTAGACACCTGTCAGTCAAAGTGACCACGGTAATTAGAGTTGAAACAGGACTGTGAAAGGCTATATGTATATTATATATATATATATATATATCAACACAAAGATAGAACAGAAACGGAAGTTAACATTGTTCAGTACATGTATAATCGGCATCAGATCAACTGATAGGTCAACCCTAGGTGTTCGACTGGGAGGAACTTCAAAGCTTACCTCACATATCTTCAGTATGCCACCCATGCTTTTGACAAATGCAACATTGACCACCGCAGTTGTTTCAACTACTTCCGAGTGTGTTTCATAAGTTGGCTCGTAAGTTTGCGGAGCGCGATCCATGGCGACAAGAAGGAAATAATCGCGAGATGAACACGATCGCACCAATCAAATAAGCGTCTCTGAGAGGATCAGAGGAGTTGTCCAAATCGCTGCGAGTAACAGAAAAGGTACACATACAGTGTCAGGTTCTATACATGTTATTAAAACAGTTGCGAGGACGCCGACGCCACACTGTCCATGCAACCCTGTTTGCGGTAAATTGAGTACGACTAGAAAATTACTGAAAATCCAAGAATCCCTTCCATCTGATGAGCCCCAAACAGGGGGAAACGACAGTGCAGTCCGTGAATTTCTACTGTCCTTCCCACACTATGAATAAAGGGTTAAACTTCGATATTTTAGGTGAACCGAGGCACATTCAGTTGGAGAATGGCCTCGTTTGGATATTCCGTGCAAGGTTATTCATGTAACTGTGTCAAAACTTCGGTGACAAGGGAGCCATCGAGTAAGCAGGAGAAAGTAGGGAAATGGTGTCTCATCGTGTCTTATCGCACTCCCACACCACCATTTTCATTGCTGCAAACTGCCGAGATACCGTAATCTTAGATAATACATACGACCACCAACACCATCATCATTGCCAACATCACTGTCACTACCATCATCATCGGCGTCGACCACGACGCTTCACTGCTGTAAAATATACTTTGGATTCAATACCCCCGAGAAGTCAAAATGTAAACAGGACGATGATCGTGGCCCTCAACAAAAAGCTTGGCCGAAAATCATGACCTAAAGGCAGCAGTTGTGTACAAGCATGCACACTGTTACAGGAGTGAAAGCTCTTTTAGGGAGTCAGTCGTCCTACATGTTCCAACCCCCTAACCCAGAAAATCGGGAAACTGTGTTTATCGGGCATCCCCCTCCTGACGAATCTGTTATGAAACACACTGCAGACACCATACAGAACCCTTTCTGTATCACCCCAAGTATCGTAAAAGTAAAAAAAGGCGTTGCATCATAGACGGGCTCGGTCACTCAGCATGTGCAGTGCATCCATATTTTCCCCACTGTTTCTTGTTTATCGATTAGAGCTACCCTCCTTCTCGAATTCTCACTTCTGTTGTGAGAAACGTCTGCATAAAAAACAAAATAAAAAACTGAAACGAAAGGGTAGGAAGTTGGTCTTCACTCCATTAAGCGGCCAGTTTTGGAGCATTTCTTTGTGTCCCCCGATCCCAACCAAATCTCGTGCAATCGGACCCTCCCTGAAGAGAGAGCTACATCCTAATCGAGCTACTCACATCAAACTGTTTATCACTCTATCGCGACTACGGATCACCCAAACATCTTATCGTTTCAACTATTGTTTAAATAGTTCATCAGCTTCCACAACCTAAAGGTTTGCAAAGCTTCAGGTCTCGGAGACATTCTTGATATCCTGACAGACTATCAGAACTGCACCTAATGTCGTCAAAATTCCTCATTATCACTTCGCCAACTTTATATTTCGCTCTAAAGAAGAAACTCCACTTGCTCCCAAGCCTCAACAAAACGACCTGACCAATCCCGATACCGATCTTCCTTTTTCTGACTTCCTTTTTCTTTAAAAGAAGATAGCCCGATGTCGCCTATTAACTACCGCCACAGCTGTTGACACCTCAGCTATCGCCAGTATGTAATCCGAAAGAAAACGGTAGACCCGTGACCTGCTTTTGACCCGTGAGACGAAATCGAAGATTTTCTGCAGGATATTCCTAAGTCCTTTGACTTTGCCTGATACGGTGACCCAAGCTTTCGACCTAAGGCCTGGGACAGGAGCTAGTTGCTGTAGCATTTCGGTGCCTAACAGCTGTCACCCAGAGGGAGAGTCACAGTAACGAGACTAGGTTCAAACAGCAAACTTGGGATCAGGAAGTTCGTGGTTTAAGCATTGACAACCACACCTGAATGGTGCATTTAGTAAATTTGAAAAAGGCTTTTCAACCTTCCATCTAAACGACTTCATTTGCCAGTCCACAAGTTTGGTCGGATTTCGTGGATAAGTAGGCTTTCCTTACAAAAGTTTATCCTTCGGCTAGCGCAGAGACGCTGTTTGTAGGTGGTATGCTTTGGTTGCTACGGTTTAACGGCAAGAGGTAGATTTAGATCCTCTCGTTGTCAGAGTCCGAAAAGTTTAGCGAAATACACTCATTTGCAAACCAATTTGGTTTTGCGCGAGACTCAACTGTAACCCAGCTGAATCTCTCGTTTGTGATGTTTCCAGGCAACTGAATAGGCTACACCAGACCACCTCATGTTTCAGCTGCTATGATATTCGAGATATCGCGATAAATGTATATTCGTAACGCACTACTCATACTCAGGTACGAACACGGCAAGTTTAGTCTCAATATTTCAATAACGAAGCTACAGGACACAGCTCGTTCTGAGGAAAGCTGGTACTCTGTACGAAGCAGCTTCTGTAGAACTGGTGACATCCAAAAACGTTAAATTCTCTAGCCCCTCGGCTGAAATGCCGAATACCTTTGAGCACGTATATCAATGGCGCACTCATCACATCAACTAGGACCCATCATGGTAATTCCGTAATGGGCACACAGTGATGACACCAGACAAGCAAGACACCTAACACGAAGAGATGGTAGAATGCACAGAACTGCTGGCCAGCTTCGCGCCTACGGAGATACACTTCACACACAGATGTGTTGTACACGCATTCTTTGAGCCATAAGCAGATACCTCACTATCGCCAAGCGATTCGTAGAGTAGCGAAAGACATTCTCACCTTCAAGGTTTGTAGGTTATTTTCAAAATCACGTTACTAGCGGCAGATTTGACAGCCATGACAATTGAGAGAATCCTCATTCGTGACAGCCAAAGGTCAATCTTGTGGAGCACCACTCTCAACTAGCGGGAAATACTCGCAAGTGGATTACAGGAGGGAGAAAAAACGACACTGGGAGACTTCTTGTAAGAAGAGTAAGGAGCACGATTTAAACGCATTGAGCTGTTCAGAACACACGAATGGATGCACTCGTCCTGGAGAATATCCAATGATAGCTGTCGCTTTGATATGTTTATCGAGCTTGAGTGTTAAAAGAATCCGACAGGCTCATAAAAGTGCAACCAACTTAGGAACAAGAGAAACCCAGCAGATTTTTGTACTGCGAGCAATCACGCTAAGGGACGATCAAGGAACAAACCACTTTGTCCACTGCGATTGGTATTTGGAGGCAGTAAAGTGCATTTTCCAGGCGACTGGCGGTTCCAGATTTATGGAAGCACTGATGCTGTCTCCCCCTGAAAATGGGTCACAGATTATTCCTAAAAAACCGCACATTTCGACTCCCCAGTGTTGTTGTCAGTGGCGACGAAACCTTATCAGTAGCCCAATGCAGTTCTAAACACATTTAGTTTGTAATATATAATCGGGGTGCCTATCCTCTATCATACGCCTCCTCGGACGAGGCGAAATCTCCACAACAAGATGGGTAATCGGATCCAAGTAGAGTCACTAACACCCTAAATCGGGGTGCCAACCCCCATCATACGCCTCCTCGGACGAGGCGAAATCTCCACAACAAGATGGGTAATCGGATCCAAGTAGAGTCACTAACACCCTATTAACCACTTCAAAGTTAAAAGCCAAGAGTATGGCTCCAGAAGGAAACATTAAATCCACCCATTAACCTGTGGGCGAACTTTCAGATGAAAGATTCAGGTTGGAGGTAAATCAAAGTAACAACAACGGTAAGTCCCGGTATATTTCGGTAAGACATCCGACTCAACAAGATGAACACTGGATATCGTCGAGATCAGTAGATCGTATTAGTGCCAGAAAAGCCACACCAGCAACCAGTGACTATGATTAAGCACACATATCCCTCAAACAACGGATAATCAAAAGCCTATATGATGAGAGAACGCTGGTGAACTGCAAAGGCGCAGGAGATGAAGGCTTCCACCGCATGAAACAGCCGCGGCATATTTAAGCTGATTCGGCTAACCGGCAAAAGGAAAGGTGTCAGCAAAGTGATCTGCAAAATCGAAGGAACGGCAGTTCATTCCCTCAATCATCGTCTTGTACGATGAGCTGAACACATTACAAAACGGTTCAGCTGGCCTTTTTCAACGCAATCTCTGGAGAAACCCAACCACCAAGCATGAAACGTCGTCATCTGCTCACTGTCAGAAACGCAAATCCAGCATGAGATAGCGTTCTTCCAACGCGACGAGAAACCCGAACTTTTCAAAGGTAAACAATCTGATAAACATTCAAACGACACAACTCGGATGAATTGGTACGAAAACGGAATATCAGTGGAATGGCGCGCCTCGACGGTGATTCCAGTATTCAAGAACGACGCGGGAATGCTATGCAAACCATCTTGGCATCAGCCCAGCATCCGTCGCACCCAAGGTGCTCTCTAGCAAGCACAACAAACGGGAGAAAGACATGTTCATGTATTGACCTCATCTGTCACAGTATAATCGGAATCGATACAACTTCCAACATAAGTAAAACTCCGAATGCCCCTCAGTGGATGGCTCAGTGGTTAGAGCGCGAATTTACTGATGGGAAGATCCATGGCTCGAACCCGACCCCGGCCTCCCGGCTTTCCCTATCTAGGCGTGGGTAACATGGCAGTATTCTAGCCCTCGTGCTTCCTTTGGTTGGCATAGCAGCTAGGCACCGACAGGATGTTGCAGCTGAACGAGTACCTTTATTATCTTTCTGGATTGTAATTGGCGTGTTCAGTGACAGCATGACCGTACATTTCCTGAGTACAAAGCGCATGCCAAAGAACAGAATGGCTGATCATTTCATCTAAAAACACCCACGTGTTCTTCTTTTTGAAGATGGGGATGTCCTCTGCACATACCGGACCGATAAGTGTTTCGTCAGCAGCTATCTCAATACCAGCGTTTTGAAATCCTTTCAGTGCTCGTCTCAGCACCTCGTCCACCACGAAAGTAAATAGGAATGGATAGAGTGGATACTCCTGAAGGATACCACTGTGTACGGGAGTTGTTGAAGAGCTCTCACGCCATAAAGTCTGAGAATACAAGGAACTTACTAGGCTCACCAAGTGCAGGGGCATTCTCGCTGGGCAATCATGTCAAAAATATACCGGCCAACAGAGTCAAATGCGATTTGAAAATCCAGGAATATTCAAATTGTAGATCGCTTATACGTATGGCGCTGTGCTAGCACCTCGTAGTGTGAAGATTTAGTCAACCCGATCCCTACCAGGCTGGAAACCCGCATGCCGCTCTCGAGTCACTATGATCCTTGACGGTTTTGTATGCAGGCGGCTTCCAGGGACCGGCCGAACGGATCAACTAAAATTATCTTCGAGCATTCCCGGCCTGCTAGAAATTTTCTATTTCCTTAGCTTTTCGCATTCATCAGGCATCAAAATTTGAATACACCCTCACCCTCAAGTGGCGGCTGATAATTCGTCGGGTCAAAATATGCTCCGGAACAGCGGCGACATCTCTTTAAGATTCAAGTAATGTCATTATTCAGTCCGAGTAACATTGAGTTGGCGAACCCGGTAGCGCTGTCACAGGTAAAATTCGCTGCACTGCGCAAAGGCATGACGATCCCATCCCAGTAGGAATTCACATCTGATGGTGGAGCAGTTAGAAGGGATCCCAGAAGACTTCCGATGAATTCGTCTAACTTCCGGGAATGCCAGGCTCTCAGCTGCTAAATAACTTGTCCACATCTTACACAGCCCTGGAAACCGAAAAGAGGAGCGACTCCGGATGAACACACAAGTCCACAAATAGCGGCAGTCGGTTATTGATTCGCGCCATCGGTAACTGACAGGCATGTGACCAATTCGGTCTCACACGCCGTTGGAGAACACCATAAGACCAAACGAATTTAGCTATCTCGGAAGTTAGTACTACATAAAAAACAGTCTGAAGTTAGCACATATCTGAAGCAATCGTTCGCCACCGTCCTTATGTACCGAATCCAATCCATGTGGAATAACTAATTGAGTCTCAGATGCGCTACGCCTGCTGGCCTGTGCATTCCGATCTCTGGCCATCACAACGATATCTGAGTGCCTCAACATGACATAAAACTTGCCTGAGGATATGGGTCTCTAGGCGTTATGTCACACCCTCTGTCCAAGTTGTATCGAAAATGTTCATCCAGTGCGAATTAGAGCGTACTGACCAATGACGACCATATTCTCTGGCACTTTGTTTCAATTGTTCATTAAGACAGCTGATGATACTGTCTTTTCTGGGGAACTTTGGACTAAGGCTTCTCTGAGGCGAAGGGTCTGGTTGTGTATCTACCTTTGAGTTCCGCGTCTTAAACTACCGGTACTTTTTACTAACTGTTCATTGTTAGAACTCACGGTGTTATCAGCCAATTTCTCAAAACTCGTTTTTGTTTACGTATATACGAAGTTGGCGCGACCGCGCAGACAATAGCTTCGATGGAGGAATCCAAAGGCTCGTAGACTCGGTTCGGCAAGACGCGATCCCAGCCATGAATTCAGTCACCGTATGTGAATAGGGATGCAGATAAAGGGAGGTCTACTACGTGTGATAGTAGGCCTTAAGGAGATTAGTTGAAAACCTAGGTGGTCTACTGAATGAAGTAACTAAGAGCATGAGGGGATAATCCTCGACTGTAAATTCAGGAATCCGCCCT